GGCCGGGACAGCTGACCCCAACTGACCCAAGGGATATCCCACACCATATGACGTCATGCTCAGCATAGAAAGCTGGGGGAAGAAGAAACAAGGGGGGGACGTTCGGAGAGATGGCGTTTGTCTTCCCAAGTCACCGTTGCGTGTGGTGGAGCCCTGCTTTCCTGGAGGTGGCTGAACACCTGCCTGCTCATGGGAAGGAGTGAAGGAACGCCTTGTTTTGCTTTGCTTGCGCGCACGGCTTTTGCTTTGCCTATTAAACTGTCTTTATCTCAACCCACGAGTTTCCTCACTTTTACTGTTCCGATCCTCTCCCCCATCCCACCGGGGGGGAGTGAGTGGCTTAGTTGCCAGCTGGGGTTAAACCACGACACCGGGTCATTCATTTTCTAGCCCAAACGTCTCTACGAAGATTTCAGAAGAAATCATGAAATCACAGAAGTTTGCGATGCCTGACACAAAACGGTTGCACTTCACTCTGAAACTTGACCCGAGTTATTTGCAACAAAGGCCAGGGTTGCTCAAGGCTTCTTCTTCACTGTGAAAGAAGGAAGCTCTTCAAATAAATTGAGGTACCAGTGAAGATAAGGTAGTTTTCTATGATTTAGCAAGTTGAAGTAAAAATTAATATGAAAACTTCACCTTCACCAGCATGTTAGATAGTTTGAATGAAATTTACTCTCTCTTTTTATAATTAAAATGATGCCACATGACGCCTTTGTGAGTCTTTTGCAAATACAGGGTCGCTGTGAAACACGACCTCAAACTTGCTGAGTTTATCCCACGGTAGAATATACCTATAAAAGGTTCCTAGGTAGTTTCAGAGGGCAAAGATTGCAACCTGAAACGACCTAGTAACGACCTAGAAAGTAAGTCCAATGAACTTTCCAGAAGTTCCTACATTTGTCCACAGAGAGGCAGTACCGGATGACAGAAGGTACATTACAGATGTCTAGCTGATTCTAGACAATGCACAGGAAGACTGGTGGCATCCTCATAGTGCCTTCACTAAATGAGCTGTCTATGCTCAGACATACTTCACAATTATTTACATACTGTTGCTTCCCTGGGGACTCAAATGTGAACTGTTTCTTCCTGACAAGTTATACAAAATTATCATATCCTGCAAAATTATCAGGATAATATTACAATAAATACATTTCCCTTAGAGGACTAGAATCCCCACAAACAAACAAACAAAAAAGTTTTGCATCCTACTTGGATTTGAAGTTCTAGACTAAATTTCCCTCTCAAATATACTAGCATGCAATTAGCAGAATTCAACTTCGGTTGTCCGTTGGACAGGGATTACTTGGAAATCAGAAATAACTTGGGATGCTGTGAATAAGGTCACAATATAACCTCTTTATTAATTTCTTTTTTTGCTTCATAGACAGGAATTCTACAGATATTTAAAACAACTTTTCTTTCTTGTTTTGTGAATAGTGATAGAGAAACCAAAGCAAGCTGAATCAGTATTTTTAAGAGATCGTGTCATGGATTTGGATTCAGAAATTGGTTAAGCTTGTGACATTAGTGTTAAAACTAGAATTATTTCGGTCATTTGACTAATGTGTGTAGCCTGGCAAACAGGAATATTAAAGCTGAATGGTATGCATGGTGAGACATTAAATTAGTGAGCTATTACTCTGAGAGTGGCTGCAGTTCTGTTTTCTTTAACTTGTTAGAAAAACATTTAGAAAATGTAAACGCTAACAGGCTATAATTTTCCTTTGCTCTTCAAAAGAGCAAGCACACTTTATAAAGGGCACTACTAAGATTATTCATTGATAGGAACAGGTGGGAATGTAGCTCTCATCTCTTCTCCATACAGCATCAGTGGTTATTAAATTACCCACCTTCATGCACATGCATACAAACATTTGTTTTGCTAGCTTAGAACTTTCCAGAAATGGAACCAAAAGACATGTAAAAAAAATTATTTGGGGTTGACTCAATATTAATTTTTCAATTTTTAATGAGGTGGCCCCACTCCATGATTTTCAAAATCATGACATTTTTTCTTTCCCTCCTTTCTTCTTTCTCCCTCCTTCCCTTCTCTTCTTTAAACAAAGGCAATTTTCTAAATAGAATTGTTCTTTGAGGCAAAAAAGCTTAAGATTTTTTAAAAATTATTTGATAAATTGTTAAAATTTTTGTGATTTTCTTCTATATGAAAAGTTTGCAATTTGGATGAAAATAGTAATCAAATTTCATTTAAATGTGCAAGCTTTTCCAACACCTCTGAAACTGAATTCCAAATTCCAGCAGTTCTTGCTCGTTTAAAAAAATGTACTCAATTCCTTCTATGTATATTGGCATGGCAAGGTACTTACACACTAATCCCTTTTCCAACACTCGCCATGAAACTTTTCTACAAAGATTTATGGCACAGGGACACTACCTGTGGTGGCGGGAGGCCTCCTGCACCTGCAGGGCATTCTGGCAGCATAGTGAGTTTCTTGTGAGCGCTGCACTTGCAGGAAGGTGAAGGATTCTCAGGGCTCCACTTCTGGCTCAGCAGGAGGCTGCTTAGGTTAGGATGAACAGCAGGTGTGTTCCAGGCAGTTGGCAGATTATTGCATGGGTAGTTCCTGTGTAGAGGAACAGACTCTTTAAGCTGTGCAGAGATACAGTTCATGAGAGCTCACAAATCCACAAAATCACAATGCTCTCAGCAGACATTCTCCTCTCAGCCCTTTTCCTGTGAGTTATGAATAATAAGAATGTTTTAGAGTACCTGGTAAACATGAATAAATACAATCTCCCCCCACATCTCTGCCAAGTTTACTGTCTTCAGCTTGCAGACAGGACACTGAAGGAACAAGGGGACTGTGTTTGACCCATTAGTACACAAAAAAACTGCAGAGGACACATATCTTTGCGAAGAAACTATCCTTTTCCTTGTTCATGCACTATCATTTCTCTCTTTATTTTCTAAAGTTTCCTCTTCGTTCTTGCTGTACCAGGCAAAGGAGAGGAAAGGGAAGAGAGAGGAGAGGGCAGCCAGAAGAATCAAGTTGCTGGATATCACGACTGGGAGAGAGGCAGGAAAAAAGGAACAAATGGCAAAGCATAGCATGCCAGTGACAAATGCTTCCAAAGCAGGACTCACAGACAGGGTAAGTGGGTAGGACAACAAATATTAAAGTAAGGGCTCTACTAACGTTGTCCTCCAGAGTGAGAATAGCTTCAAATCATAGAGACTGTCCTATTGCTACTTCACAATCCGAGCAATTGCTGAAGCTATTGCTTCCAAACACACTAGTGGGAACAGGAGGAACCTGAGGGGACTCACATGTGGAAAGTACCAGGGAAGCTGTGAAGATTTGGGTCTGAGCCCACTGGCCTACTGACATACATTTCAAGGTTGCTTAATTCTCAATACAAGGCTACATAAGCTGGCTTCCAGCTAGTCACATTGAGCACTGTGAATCATTCTTAATCCCATGGCATTGTTGTCTCGCTGTTTGTTTGTTATTTTTGACCCAATATTAGATATTATTGGCAACAATATATCTGAAGCATTTGCTCTATTGAAAAGTCAAGCCAATTCATTTTTGTTTCACTACTCAAGTTCCACTAGTAATACCCTGCTAGAATCTCGTTCAAGAGAGATTAGCTAGCAACTTACGGAAGAGGCTGATTCTTCATGCAGCGATTTCCAAATCCTGGTTTATTCAAGAAAGCATCAGTGAGGGAGACCATCTGCTCACTGCCAGGACGTTCATTGCTAAGGGAATAAGACAGGACTTTCTCTATAAAAATTTTTTGCAAACTATTGTACTGGAATACACATAGCAACTGGTGAAGGACAGCCATATGGCAGAACCAACTGCCCCCCTCCAAATGCTGATAATTCAATTATTTTAGTTATTTATGCAAAACCCCAGAACCTTCCAAGATGGTTAACAGACTAAAGCAATGGTCCTTTTCTCCTAATATTAAAGCATGACTTCTGACATCGTCCTATTACAATATTCTCCAAAAAGGCTTGAATCCACATTTCTACCCTCTCAGCCCTGTTAGACTCAGCAATCAGAAGATGAAAAACATATCCTGCATTTTCATTTGCTGAGGCCAAAGAGACAATGCTGCTAATAGTGAAGTGTCTGCAACTAACAACCTAATAACGTTAGACTACAGAATATTGCTAGTGCCAAGTGTTATACAGGTATGAATATCAAACTCTGCTCCATACACTACCATGTGTAAATTAAATTAAAGTTCCATGTGAATTTTCAGTATGAAACTCAAGGAAAGTGCTTCAAAATTATTGCCTTCAGTTTTGCTGCTTTCTGCTAGTTGCAATCTAGTCTAGGACTTAAACATTGTTTATAAATTTCCTCTGCATTGCACATGTTTTGACTTGGTGCAAGTTCAGCTTTGGAATACGTGGAAGTGAAGGTGAAACAAATGTTCAGGAGAGCACAGAGGAATTGTGCAGTGACCTGGAGAGAAAAGAACTGAAGCTTCTATGAAGAATGAAAGGACACAAAGTGCTAGTAGAAAAAAAAAAAAAAAAAAATCAGACCCAGCCAAAGGATACTGTGTGGGAAGAAACTGCTCAGCAGCAGCATTAATAAAACCTAAGAGTCTCTGCTCTCATCTTGTTTCCATAACTTTGCCCAAATACTGTACTAACTATAAATAAATCTACCACAGGTCAGCAGATAGGCTTGAATCTCATTGTTCTCTAAGATTATGAATATAAGGGTAGTTCAATGGTATGTGAGAAACAGTTTTCTTACTGTCCTAGATCTCCTGTTAGGCAGGATATGTAACGTTCTAAGTGTTGAGGTCATGAATTCAGTAGGAAGAGGAAAGTACCAAAGATAGCAAGATACTTGAAGGACTATTGGTTAGACACACTAGCAGCTGTATTCTCCACTTGCACCAATTTCATGCTATTTCAAATCTGCTGATTCCAGTGGAGTTAATCCTTTTTTATACCACACAGTGAGAAAAGCCCAGTAAGACAGGGGCCCGTGATCCTAAACACTAGGGAGAAAAGGGTGTATATACGACAGATGTACTTTTACTCAGTGATTCCTCTCACCTGAAGAAAGTAAACTGTTGTCCATAGATCCAAGGGTGTAAGGTTAAGGCGGGATATTCTCCAAACGGAGGAACAATGACTGCAAGTATTAAAGACAGCAACACAAAACTAGCAGGGAGAACAACCTGCAGGGAATATGAAAATATCACACTAGGTTATTAGATATATGTCGTGGAGTGACACCGTACACACCTCATAATATATATAAACAAAGGAGGGACAGCAGGAACACACAGATCAGATCTGGTTTAGCTCCTGAACACCAACAATTTAGTTTCCAGTGCTTTCAGTTAAGATTCTGGTTGCCACAGGACTGTATTATGTTAAAAATAAAATTCTGGGCTAGCCGTGATTGAATCATGAACTTGGTGCGGTTGATAGACTCTAGGCAGAAAGAATGAGAGGCAGAAGAGTTGGAATCGTAATTAGAACAGTTAGGGACACTGTTACCCACTTGCAGCACCTCTGTTGCTTTGTATAGAGACATTGCTGGGAAAGACAGCGTTGTGAAT